CCCCCCCCCCCCCCCAACCCCCCTGGCTACGGGCCTGCAGACATTGTGAACAGTTTTTTCTGTCTATTCACAATCATGGATTGCTTTTATTTCCAGGTGTTATTGTATTGATTATTATTTAGGTCTATTCCACATATTTGGGAAATTATAGTGTTTATCATTCAGAACCCTGGCATGTTATTTTAAGGCCACACTGTGTTTTTCAGCTAAGCTTTAAGTCATATTCCCAGTTAGGTTAGGGTAGAATGACCTAATATATATAATTTCAGCAGGACCTTGCAGTAAGGCTTTCTAACCAAAGGAGGTCAAACTAATCCCTGGGCTGCCCCCCCCCCTCCCCCAGGGTTCCTTTAATCAGGGATGTGTCAGACTGGTGGGGCACTAAATTCCTGTCAATGTTTTTCATATTGTTAAGACGGCATTTTAACTTAATACCACTTCAATCATCTCACCAAAGTGAGTGGCTTCAGCCACTGTGGTCCTTTCATCATTCTGCCTCTGCCATTGCTGGGAATGGTGAACAACTTCATTAATTCTATTTGATTTAACTGAATAAATCTTTTGATCAGCTGGAAGCATTTGTGCTACAGTAAAAGAAATACAAAGACAGCTGCCTACTGCAGTAGGAGAAATACAACACCAGGGCAATGACATTACCTTATTTATAACAATCACCAGATACTGACAAACTACAAGCAAACACTAGTTCTACACTCTGGTCCTGCTTCAATGACAGTGGTAAGGGGGGGCTAGGCGCAATTTCTGTTATTTCTGGCGTGGCTGTTAACTTACTCATGTAATTCATGTGCTGAATACATTTTGCTAAGTTTAAACACACAAGAACTGAGTCTGATAAATTGATAATGGAATGTCACACATCATGCTATTTCTCAATCACATAAAAAGCAGACAGAAAAAGAATGAGTAGCACTCATTGAGTAGATATCCATATATAGGGTAGTCTTTAAAAAAAAGGATATTTTTTGTCATTTTATTCATTTAATTTAGATTCAAGTTCACATACTAGTGAACTACTATAATAGCTCAGAAAATATAAAAGCCTGAGTAAAATCCTGTATTCTGTGGACTGGTTGTAATTTCATAGCCATTACATTAAAGATGAACGGTTACACCTTTGTAGATAAATAACACTGCTTCCACCATCAGGTGGATTTATTTTATAGGTTTCTTAACAACAGACTTCTGCCACCGCTTTTGTTGCCTTGTTATGACTCATGTATAAATGGAAATCTTAATCAATAAAGTTTGTGTAAGCTTCTTCCAAAGTTGACATAGTGCAGAAAAGCTAATGATCCTGTACATATATATAGCGCATGCATATCACGCTCAGATTTTTTGTACTTAAGCTGCTTAATTGCGAGATATCTATGACTGGCTTTTTTAAACATAGATTTTATCTATAATAATAAATAGCAAAGGTGGCTTGTTTTAAAATTGAGTACCTTCTTGTCTGCCTGAAGTATAACGCCCATGTGTTTTGTCTAGCTTTTTATCAATTTTCATAATATGGAATAAAAGCTAATGCATCTCTGAGTTCTCATCCTCCAATGCTTGGTGCTATGCCTCTTGTATGCACTAATAGCATTGCCTGTGCACATATTAACTCTGCAAAATGATCAGACTTTGCAGCAGGCACCAAATACCTAGCAGATAAACCAGTGGGAGTCTTAATTAGAGGGAAATCAGCAAGGTACATAAACCACGACCACATGAAAAGAGATTGATTAAGATTAGCTGTGCACATTTCTCCATCACAGGAGGTCAGCAAGGGCTATTCCACATGGCTGTATTAACCCGGACTTTGTCTGATCTGGGTTAGAACCTGGTTGGAATTAAATTTGCTCTTGAAATTTTATCAGTACCTGAGAACATGATATATATTTAGTTAGGTCATGGCCTCTGTAAACTTTGTACTAGTAACAATTTACATTATGTTGATACTTGGTACATATTACATGCTGTATATATCTTATTCATAAACCAAGTTCAGCACAGACTGTAGTGTACTAGTAGGCTGAAATTATACTGTGGATCTACTTGAAATCAACCCCATGTGTTTCCCTTGGCCTATTAGAGCCATGAAATTGCCATGAACAAAATGTCACTGGTTGCTGCCATATTTTATTTATTGTGAAATAGGAAGGTGTCTTTAAAAATGATGATTGCAATAAACCCTTACAATCCAAAGCTTGCTATCCAGACTCTGGCTTTTATCAATTGCTGGTCACATAAGAAAAAATAGAAATTAACTGATATGGTGCGTTAATTGCAATGTTCATAAGTACGGTACCACAACATTGTTTTAATTTTCATAGATATGCAGTAATTGCCCCTATACTGCCTGCCACTGCCGAGCAGTCAATCCATATTGTATTATCTTAATTGAATATCAGTAGACAAGGCTAGGGAGGAAAAAATGATGAGTAATAGGTCTATCACCAGGATAATATATTTCTAGGATAATATATCCTAGTGTCTGTTGTATTTTGGGATATCTTGTACCAATTGGTTACTATGAGAGACAAATGTACTACTGTAACTGAATTTGAATGGTATTGGGCACTTAGCTACCACCCTCACCCCCTTACTGTACCTGTTATGTTTTCTGCCTGCCCCACATTCATTACTTTGACTTACCTGTGGAAAACATGTGTAGAAAAAAATCTACATATTCTATTGCTTTTTTAGAGGTTTAAACTATTGCTATTGTTTGACCAATTTATTTAGAAGAAATGGGCATGTTTATGTACTATATATATGTCATTATGTCTCTTGGCTTTACTGTATGTACCAAACAGTATACTAGGATATTTTTGAAACCTTTTGAATTTATAGTTTGGCTCAAGAAAATGTGAAATATATGATCAGTTTTGTTTATATTATCTTTGTTTTTGATGATTGATTAATTATAACATAAGATATGCTGTCATTGGCCTTGGTTATAGAACAAAACATATGGAAAATGGTGTCCTCCTATCCTGCAGTTTACAACACAGCCAAGCATGCAGAAAACTGGAAGCCCCTGTGGATAGGCCAACACACATTTATTTATTTTCAAGAACAGCAACTTAAGTTAATATCTGACACATGCCTCCTTCAATATTGTCCCGTTTACACCAACGACCCTGGCTTGATGTGGTTACATATTGGGTTGCAAAAAATTAACTCGCCTGGTAATATACTGGGTTTACCTGAATATTTAGAATTGATTGAACCGAAGTGGTGAGAGGACAAAAACCTGAATAGATCAATTAGGGATTTGCCCTGAGGAATTTTATCTTTAGTGAAGTTATTTAGACTTCACTGGCAGGCAGCTGTCCCTTGGGATTGAAATCAGATGATCTCGTAATTGTCTGTAATGCCCTTGCCCTTAAACTGACTGTGACACTGTGCTATTGATCTGACCCTGTGGTACCACCACCCTTGAACTGACTGTGGTACCACAACTCTTGGACTGATATTGGTACCACTGCCCTTGAGATAACATTGTGACCTCATTGCCCTTGAGCTGCCATGGTGGTACTACTGCCCTTGAGATAACATTGTGGCACCACTGCCCTTGAGCTAANCAATGACTGGCTTTTTTAAACATAGGTTTTATCTATAATAATAAATAGCAAAGGTGGCTTGTTTTAAAATTGAGTACCTTCTTGTCTGCCTGAAGTATAACGCCCATGTGTTTTGTCTCTAGAGCTTTTTATCAATTTTCATAATATGGAATAAAAGCTAATGCATCTCTGAGTACTCATCCTCCAATGCTTGGTGCTATGCCTCTTGTATACACTAATAGCATTGCCTGTGCACATATTAACTCTGCAAAATGATCAGACTTTGCAGCAGGCACCAAATACCTAGCAGATAAACCAGTGGGAGTCTTAATTAGAGGGAAATCAGCAAGGTACATAAACCACGACCACATGAAAAGAGATTGATTAAGATTAGCTGTGCACATTTATCCATCACGGGAGGTCAGCAAGGGCTATTCCACATGGCTGTATTAACCTGGACTTTGTCTCATCTGGGTTAGAACCTGGTTAGAATTAAATTTGCTCTTGAAATTTTATCAGTACCTGAGAACACGATATATATTAAGTTAGGTCATGGCCTCTGTAAACTTTGTACTTGTAACAATTTACATTATGTTGATACTTGCTATATATTACATGCTGTATATATATATCTTATTCATAAACCAAGTTAAGCACAGGCTGTAGTGTACTAGTAGGCTGAAATTATACTGTGGATCTACTTGAAATCAACCCCATGTGTTTCCCTTGGCCTATTAGAGCCATGAAATTACCATGAACAAAATGTCACTGATTGCTGTCAAATTTTATTTATTGTGAAATAGGAAGGTGTCTTTAAAAATGATGATTGCAATAAACCCTTACAATCCAAAGCTTGCTATCCAGACTCTGGCTTTTAAGTTTTACTAACTGCTGGGCACATAAGAAAAAAATAGGAATTAACTGATATGGTGTGTTAATTGCAATGTTCATAAGTACGGTACCACAACATTGTTTT